ATTAATTAAAGCAACAAAACAACCTGAAGAGCCGGTTCGGAGCCGAAAGAGCCGGCTCTTTTTAGTGAGCCGAACCGAAATCCCGTCACTATTGAATTCAGAAAAGTAGCAGCACATGAAAAAAATGTCATATGATGAGGTGAAAAACATGAGTACTGTTTGATTATTATTTTTTTCTCTCTTTTTCATTCGTAATTATTTTCTTGGTAAAAGCTGTTGGAGTGACTCTACATGGAACCTGACCCCTCCTGTTGTCCATGTTGAGTGGGGAAAAGAGGGCATTTGAGCTATCATCTGTTGTGTGACTGTGGAACAGGAACACAGCTGCTAAATGGCAAGAAGCCATTTGGTGTGCACTTTTTTTCAGACATTTTAGCTGTGTGAAACAGACGGAAATGTCCACTGATTAGCTAACTCTACATGGCTGACCAGGGAAGTGTGAGTATTACGCTAAATGATAACCATTGCTTAGTTTATGGACTTTTCAGCCTGCTGAGATACATTGGCATGACATACCATGCTACCAAAACGTAGCCTGTAAATTCCAGTAAAGACAGAAAAATCTGAGCATGTCGTGTTTAAAATGTAGTGTTGTAGCAATATTTCTGTCTGGGCCACAACAGCAGGTGCCAGTGCATTCACAGCAATTCACAGTGCATTTGAGAGTGAGTCGCTAGCTGGTGTTCAGAACAGTAAAAGGGATCTCTCACGTCTGTCTGTATCCACGCATCTGTGCTCCCGTCACTGTCAGAACTCTTGTTCCTTCTTCTGTCAGTAAATGGGTATTTTCAGAACTCAATGTTGCACCCGTGAGCAAAGCACCACCAAAAGGAAGTTTGTATAAGATGAAAAATTGTAAAAAGGTTAGTGCATTGATCCAAATATCAATAGTATAGATACCAATGCTGGTAATAGTGTCAATACTATTGATTGATAGTAGCATGACTCTGTTCATTTCCCTTTAGTTTGGTATGCAGCCCACTGAATTGTGTGAATATTTGCATCTGCAATACTAACCAATTATTTAATAACAAAATGTAGTTTCCACTGTTGCACAGCACTGCTGCATACGGGTTATGTTTCAGTTGGTGCCAATAAATACCTGTGCTTACTGCATAATCGGTTCAGCTGGAAATGAATGCCAACACTTTGCAGCTGATGAGAAAAGGGCGGATGTTTGTGTGGTATACGTTGGTGGATTTTTTTTGTCCAGTGTAAAACCTGGAGCTTAAATCTACTTCTTAGTCCCTGACAGCTTGAGTGATGCTGTCTATGTCTTGACTCAGTGAGCTGAACCCACCTGGGTAAAAAGGATGAGAGGAAATGTTTTAAAAAAAAGTATTTGTCACTACCTTGGCTTCATGCACACATCTGCTTCTCAGAGTGGTCGTCTCACTGCAATCCAAAAAAAGTCATATATCGAGGCACTCTCCAGGTCACCATTACAGTTTAGGATAAAACAGTCCTTTGAATAACTTTGTTCAACAATTTCTGCGAGTATCAGGACACTGCTCCTTCAACATCAACAACATCCTAAAAATAGCTCTGATTTCCACCAAACATTTACTCACCATATGTGTGAATAATCCGCGGAACTGCTCGGGGTGATAGTTGGAGATATAGAGGCAATTACACAGTAATAGATTCAATCTCAGGCCAAGAGAAACATAATTGGAGAGAGAGCTCTCGCCTACGGGCCAGAATATTGTATACTGTCACTGTGATTATAGACACTTGGCACAGCATGGTGCTGTAGCAATTTAAAATCAGCATATGAATGGCTGACGTTAAATAGAACACTTTAGATCATGGCTTCGATTGCGCCGTAATGTTTGTCTGTGTCAATTTAAAAATACCCTATTTGTTTTCCTGCACGGCCAGTTGGCTGTGATTAAAAGAAAAGAACAATCTACGCTATGATGTTGTGTTTGTACGAAAATGCAAATGTGATAGACGGGTTGCATAGCCAAAAGAAAATGAGGTATTCAAAGAAAACACTGAGGGCTTTGGTACATTTTAATTTCACATACCAAGCACTTAACTGATGTTGTCCAGCGGCCCTGCGCAAGATAAGAAGATTTGCAATTTTGAAATGATTGATTATGCAAACAAGCAGAGAAGAAGAAGACTTGATGTTAAGAAAACCGGGGTTTACCTAAAGTTTCAGATAAGGATCCGGAAAATCTGTTATCCAGGAAATGTGATGAAGATTTAAACTTCAGAGTCTACAGAAGCGAGACTGAGGTAAGGTCATGCTACAACCCCGTCTCATAGAAGTTCATGAAATAGTCACCTTTGGTTGCTCACACCAGAAACCCAAGTTCGTCTCATCATCAGTTTTGAATACATTATTCATTAAAGGTATCTCTCTTGGTAACGTTTAAGCAGTGCAATTATTTGTTTGAAAAAACGAAATCATGGTTTGGGTTAAATACACATTTAAAAGTGTTCTTCCTGCTTTCTCGACACAAAAAAGTGCAAACATGCTCACTCAACATGATCAGTCGAATTGGGATTTATGTTAATAAATAAAAGTGGGAAAGTGTGTGAACCTGAGCAACAATCGGTCTGCATATGCACAACCTAGCATGCATGTTTTTGGGAGGAGGTTGGTGAAAGTACCCAAGGAGAATCCCATGCACTGGGCATACACTGTTTTTGGCCCATTTTGAACCGATTTTTCAGTCGTGTGACTGTTTTGGGGATTGGCCTGAGTTTTGCCTTAATTGTGTGTCATGCATTGAGTAGTATACATAGGGTAATGAGAAGCGATTAACACCTCACGACCAGCTCGTCCGAGCCTTTTCGATGTGGCCTCACAAAATTATCACGACCACAACAACCGTGAAAAGAGTTGGATGGACATTGCTGCTCAATTGCAGCTGCCTGGTCAGTGTTTTTCATTAGCAATTTAGCAAAGTTGATGGTGGTGTGTGTGTGTGTCTGTGTGAGTGAAAGTCAGAGAGGGAGAGCGAGAGACAGATTTTGTGTTATAAGCCTCGTGTTATGGAGGCACAGTGTGAGCACTCAGGTCACATCAGAGCATCGGGCCGTATAGTGTGAGACCCTGCATCGGGACCTACGAACTTCTAACCCCTGCGATTCAATAATACAGTTTAAGCAGGAGCTGAAAAACGCGACTGAAGAAATCGCACAGTGTTTGCCCAGCTTTAGGTACAAAACATTCAAACTCCA